TTTTTTTTTTTTTTTTTTTTTTTTTTGTGACACTGTTAATTCAATGTATGTGTTTTGCTGTGCAGCTACTGCGCTGGAGATGCTAATAAACTCAAAGTATGCCTGAATTAGAGCTTTTCTATCACTTCCATTGCAGCCCGATATGAACGAAGAGAGATGTACATGCATGCTTGAATGTTTATTTCCAAGTTGCAGTCGAAGTGACGGAAAAACCCGGATCTCCTAACTCTTCTAATTTCAAGTCATCAACAACGAGGATAAATATCAGGAAACTGTGTTTTAATGAAAGCGCGACACGATTGAGGAATAACCTACACATCTAAGAGTCAGCGTAAAATGTATGCCTGATTTGTTCTGGCTTCTAACAAAATAGAAGGCAATAAGCCATTGTGTCATGAAGCCCCGCCAGTACAGCAGAACAACATCAGTTCGACGTTTAAAAAGTTACGGGCAAGAGCAACCCACTTTAACAAAACATTAGCCACCGCAACGACTGCCGGTGCGAAGATGCGAGTTTTTGTTGCTAACGGCACTGTTTTTTCCCTGGTGAACGCTCCTACTAGTTAAAAGGATTGAGACTGGTTATCATGAATGTCAGAAATTACTATACTGGCTCCCAATCTCTGCTCAAAAAATTCGACACTCTAGGTGCTCTGGTTGTGGAGTCACGCAAAATTTCACGTATTCATACGTGAGGGGAAAAGTGAATGCTGTTAGCATGCGCCTGCTCAAACACGGTCCTGGGCTACACTCAGAAAATTTCAATACTCCAGCTACTCTGGCTGCGGAGTTACGTCAAACATCAAGTATTCGTATGCGAGTTTATGTGAGAAATAAAAGAAGCGTGAACGTTTTTCATGTCTGCACAGCCAGACTTCGCCGCCGACCACGCTTAAAAAATTTCAGTTCTCAAGCTACTTCAGTTTCAAAGTTACAACACTGCCCACGTAAAAATCCCACGTGTCCGTGTGTAAGATGCACAGGAGTTGAAACGTTCAACTTACTTTCGCGGACACTTCAGTGGGTAACAAATAACGCTACGAAATTACAGCTTCCTGCAACTTAGCTTAAATCTGAAGTTTGCACGATGCCACTTTAAACTATGACATGGGCGTACGTGACAGCTAGGAGTGCGTGAAGGCTGAATTTGAAATCTTAGGATTAAACGGGGCCATGGAACATCTTTGTGAAGTTTCAGCCTTCTAGCTTGCGCCGTTTCCAAAAACGCTTTTCCGCCAAAAAAACTTTCACGTGCCCGTAATGAGAACCACGTGGAAATGAGCGTTCATTATGAAGACAAGGGCTCGTACTTACGAATAGATTAAGCTGCCAAACTTTCAGCCTTGTAGTTCATGTAGATCTCGGCAGGAGTACAGAAGTACACACAGAGACATACAAAAAATCCCTCGACAATATGCATTTTTGCACCGCATAGATGCAAAAAACGCATAATAACTGCTGAAGAGTTAAGATAGCAGAGACGGGAAAGTCACTCACTCGTCGATGATGCGGAAGCAATTCTTTTTTGATTTTCGGGAAATTCTTCCCGTACACTTTGATGCCCCGAGCGAATTTTTTCGCGTCGTCGGCACTCATAAAGTTGGTCACCTTCAGCATGTGATCGTCATTTTTGTTCATCGCTTCGATTGCATAGTTAACATTGTAATCACACTTATGTAACTAAAATTATTACATTCATTTGTAACCGAAGCAAAATTCCATTCAACCCCGCCCGTCATCACTCCCGGAAACAAACACAAAAGTGTCAGAAATAGCAGCAGGGATGCAATTCGGCTCGGCCAAAATCGGAGGCTAGTTGCAGTGATTGTGGTATACCCCACCCTCTGCCCTCAACTCCCCCCCCCCTTTCCCCATCACCCCCGGATAGCTGAAGCAGAAATAAGCGTGAGGGGAAGAAGCGAGAATACTAGTAGGCTAGGCTGCGAGGTGTCAAAATTGAAGGGAACTGCGATACTGACTAGGGAAGAGCTGAGACCTTGCCTTGAGGTAGGAACTAGAGAGAGGTATAGGGATTATGCGGGTGGAAGGAGGAACACGAGTCGATGATAGTAAGAAGCTAAACTCCAAAATCTCATCGAAATAAAGAAATCTTCTGTACGGCTAGAATTTCCGCAACTCAACCAAGCCACAAGCCAGTGCACCATCCCTAGCCATGAGAGCGTTTTGTGCGGCAGGGTGAGTAGAATTTTAGCAACTGCGCACAATTCGCCTCTCAAGCCCAGCAACTGAAGTCCTGAGACGCGTATGACGACTGTGTCCGCAATTTGCATGAAAAACTGTCACTACAATGCGCAAATCATGAAATTCAATGACTGATATTTTGGACCCTGTTGTTGTTATCATTATTATTACTGTTTGTTGATGATCTTATTATCATCGCTGTTATAACTATAAAAGACGCATAAAAATGATTCCGTTCTTGCTTAAGCTATTACTGAGTTCTATAATATCAGCAATATTTCACTTTCTTGTTATTGTTGTACTATTATCATTTTTTGCTGTCGTCATTATCATTACTATGTTTTGTAATTCAATGCTGTTACTGCAAAACAGCGGTGATGAGGATTCGCTAAGAAT